GAGGTGCGGGATTACCAAAACTGTTGTCCAGAGGGCTGAGGAAGGGTTGTTGAGGTGGTTCGGACATGTAGAGAGAATGGAGCGAAACAGAATGACTTCAAGAGTGTATCAGTCTGTAGTGGAAGGAAGGCGGGGTAGGGGTCGGCCTAGGAAGGGTTGGAGGGAGGGGGTAAAGGAGGTTTTGTGTGCGAGGGGCTTGGACTTCCAGCAGGCATGCGTGAGCGTGTTTGATAGGAGTGAATGGAGACAAATGGTTTTTAATACTTGACGTGCTGTTGGAGTGTGAGCAAAGTAACATTTATGAAGGGATTCAGGGAAACCGGCAGGCCGGACTTGAGTCCTGGAGATGGGAAGTACAGTGCCTGCACTCTGAAGGAGGGGTGTTAATGTTGCAGTTTAAAAACTGTAGTGTAAAGCACCCTTCTGGCAAGACAGTGATGGAGTGAATGATGGTGAAAGTTTTTCTTTTTCGGGCCACCCTGCCTTGGTGGGAATCGGCCGGTGTGATAATAAAAAAAAAAAATAACATACAAGTAGGGAACAGGATGAAGTTGGAGCCATCTGTGGGCCAGCATTTTCATTTGATCAACTGACTTTATCTCGTTGACATCATTATGCTGTACGAATGTGTTCCATACTCAAGTCATCCTGGGTATATAGGATCTCAGATGGAGTGAAGTTCTGGAGAAGGGTACAGCCAGAGTGAAGTTGCTGCTTTCTGCCCGTCTTGTGGCATAAAAGCTTGTTTCACGCTGTCCTCGAAGTGGATCCAAGTGTGGTACTTTGACAATATTGGCCTTGTACATAACAGTAAGGCCACCCACATCCCTCCTATGTTGAAGGCTCTGCTGAAATGACAGATCTATCCAGGATGGATCCAGGCGAGAGATGAGATGTCTTGCTCTGTTCTCTACTCTGTCAAACAGTCGCAGATGAGAGGGGAGGGGGCAGGCAAACCAAGAAAGTGGAGCATACTCAAGGTGCGAGCATACTTGTGCCTCATACAGAATCTTGCAACCCCTACTGTCAAGTAGATGCGAGATACGGCGAAGTGCTGTAAGCTTCCTGGCTGCCTTGTTTGCAAGATTTACAACATGGTTCTTCATGGTTAGTTTGGAGTCACATTTCACCCCAAGGATATCAACTTCTTCTCCAGGTGCCAACACCCTCCCATTCATCCTTACTACTGCACCAGCATTACCATCATGGTGCCTAGAGACGATCATCATTTGCATTTTCTCAGGTGCAAATGTTACTTGCCATCTATTTCCCCAAGCTGATATAGCTCTCAGCTGGTGATTGATGTAGCTTAGAGCAACTGGCATTTCTTCTCTTGGATAAGTGAATGTCAGTGTGCAGTCGTCTGCATATGCATGTGATTCTGGGATGAGATGAAGAAGGTCGTTGAAGTAGACATTCTATAACAGTGGTCCCAGCACGCTTCCTTGTGGAACACTTGCCCCAGTAGGATGTCTTGCTGATTCCGTTCCATTGAAAACTACACTTAGAGATCTACCATGAAGGTAATCACTGCGGAGACATAGCATAGAGCCTGCAATTCCCAGTGCTTGAAGTTTTGCTAAGAGGCCCTGGTGCCACACCCGGTCGAAAGCACCAGCAATGTCCAGTGCTACCACACAACTGACTTTGGATTCATCCAGTGACTGGTGCCACTCTGGTGTCTCTCTCTCTGTCTCTCTGTCTCCCTGTCTGTGTGTGTGTGTGTGTGTGTTTGTGTGTGTTTGTGTGTGTGTGTGTGTGTGTGTGTGTGTGTGTGTGTGTGTGTGTGTGTGTGTGTGTGTGTGTGTGTGTGTGTGTGTGTCTACCCTGTCATATAACTCCAGTAGGTTAGTGACACAGGATTTCCCATCCCTGAAACCGTGTTGGCTGTTGTTAAGCTCATTTCTTTCTAGGTGTTTCACCACTCTTCTCTTGATAATCTTCTCAATGACTTTGCATACTATACATGTCAGTGACACTGGTCTCTAGTTTAGTGCTTCTTGTCTGTCTAGTTTTTTAAAAATTTTGACTACTTTTCCTGTCTTCTGTACCTCAGATAATCTCCCTGTTTTGATAGATGTGTTGAATATTGTTGTTACGGGTACACACAGCTCCTCTACACCCTCTCTCAGGCCCCATGGAGAGTTGTTATCTGGCCCCATTGCCTTTGAGGTGTCTAGCTCACTCAGCAGCCTCTTCACTTCTTCCTTGGTTGTAGATATTGTGTCCAGCACTTGGTGGCGTACCCCTCCTCTCCGTCTTTCTGGAGTCCCTTCTGTCTCCTCTGTGAACACTTCCTTGAATCTCATGTTGAGTTCCTCACATACTTCTTGGTCGTTTCTTGTGATCTCTCCTCCTGCCTTCCTTAGCCTGATTACCTGGTCCTTGACTGTTGTTTTCCTCCTGATGTGGCTGTACAACAGCTTCAGGTCAGATTTGGCTTTTGCTGCTGTGTCATTCTCATATTGCCATTGGGTCTCCCTTCTTACCTGTGCATATTCATTTCTGGCTCTACAACTGCTTTCCTTATTCTCCTGGGTTCTTTGCCTTCTATACTTCTTCCATTCCCTAGCTCACTTGGTTTTCGCCTCCCTGCACCTTTGGATGAACTATGGGCTCATCCTGACTTTTTCATTATTCCTGTTACCCTTGGGTACAGACCTCTCCTCAGCTTCCTTGCATATTGTTGTCATGTATTCCATCATCTCGTTTACTGACTTCACTGCCAGTTCTCTGTCCCACTGAACCCTGGTCAGGAAGTTCTTCATTCCCATGTAGTCCCTCTTCTTGTAGTTTGGCTTCATTCATCCAGCTTTTCCTGTTACGCTCTCCACTTGTAACTCTACTGTGTATTCGAATCTTAAAACCACATGATCGCTGGCCCCAAGGAGTCTTTCATGTGTGATAGCCTCAATATCTGCACTACTCAAGGGGAATACTAGGTCCAGTCTCACTGGCTCATCTTCTCTTCTCTCTCTTTGGTAATGTCCCTTACGTGTTGGTACATGAAGTTTTCCAGTACCACCTCCATCATCTTAGCCCTCCATGTTTCTTGTCCCCCATGTGGCTCCAAGTTCTCCCAATCGATTTCCTTGTGGTTGAAGTCACCCATGATCAGTAGCTTTGCCCTGCTCATGAGAGCCCTTCTTGCCACTTCAGCCAGTGTGTCAGCCATCACTCTATTACTCTCATCATACTCTTGCCTTGGCCTCCTGCTGGTCTGTGGTGGGTTATACACCACTGCAATTACCACCTTGGGACCTCCAGACTGAAGTGTTCCTACTATGTAATCCCTTGCTTCTCCACTGTCTCCTCTCTCCAGCTCATCAAAATCCCATCAATTTTTGACCAGCAGTGCTGCTTCTCCACCCCCTCTCTTCCCTCTGTCTTTCCTCAGGATCTCTTAAACTGTTGGAAAGATGGCATCTGTTATCATAACTGTGAGCTTGGTTTCTGTGAGGACTGTGATGTCCGGTGATTCCTTTTTGATTCTTTCATGCCACTCCTCCCACTTATTTGTTATTCCATCAGCGTTAGTGTACCATATCTTCAGTTTCCTCTCCAATACTGTTTTTTGGGAGGTCTGTGAGGGTGAGGGACCTGGGATTGTACTGTTGGATTCTATAACTGAGTGTTGGGTGGGAGCTGTGGGTGCAGATTGTGGTTTGTGTTGGGATAGCGTGATTGGTTGTAGGGTTCTGAGGATGGTTCTGTGTGTGCTTGCTCTTGTTTCTCTGCCCTGCTCCGGTTGTCCTTTGCTGATTCTGTCCTTGTCTCTCCTCCTAGTTCCTTTCACTTTTGTGTCCTCTCCCTCAGCTGCTGCCACTCTGTTTGTGTTCTGTCTTGGTCTAGGAACACCCTCTTGTATTCTGCTGAGTCCTTCAACAATGGTTTCTCTTGGAGGATCCTGTTCCACACTGTTTCTGTCCTGAAAATCAGCTTGATTGGTCATTTTCTCCCCTTCAAATACCCCCCTATTCTCTGAAAATTTACAATCTCGGACATGTCCTCTTCACCTATTTCTGTGATGATGTTCTCAGTCTCCTTTCTTTCTGCCTGCTGCCTTTCAGTGTGTGACCTTCCCTTGCTCTCCTGAAGCCCATGAATAAACACTGACTTCACCCTCTCCTCCTCCCATTGCCTTTCATTCTGTGACTCTGGTTCCTGTCCGTACATGGCCAGTTTCTCCCTTTTTCTCCAGTAGCTCTTGGTGGCATGTTTGTCCCACTGCATTTGACCTGTCCCCCTCTCCACCTGCACCCAGCTGCTCTCCCCCTTCACTCCTTGGTCCTGCTTGGTAGGCTGCTATGGCCCTAACATAATTTATACCTCATTCCTTCTTGTTGGGCCTCCCAGCTTCATATGCTGTGTCATCTCTGGTCATTACCCCTGTTACTCACTTCAGCTTGCTTACCTCATCTTCTAGGACCCTTATCATGGCAACTGCAGTTTTGACTTGAGACTCCCATTTCTTCTCCTCCTCCAACCTCTTCTCCAATTTCACAGAAAGCTCTGTCTCCATTTATGTAGAAAGCTGTCCTAGTTTTCTCTCTCACTCTTGTTCCATCCTTTTGCACTGTGTGTGTGTGTTAATATGGTAGAGGTAGAGAAGACAGCTGGCCTGATGGTTGGTTGTATATATCAAGGGATCCAGCTAAGTTACTGCCTCAAACATCACCTTCATTCTGAGACTGGTTCCTATCATCATCAATCATTATCATAGGGATTTTTGCACATGACTTTTGACCTTGGCCATACTATATAAGTAGAGTGTTATTAATAACTCATTCTTAAGTGAGTTATGAGAGTTTACTGTACTCTACTTTTAACTTGATTTTATGGATTAAAGTATTCATTGTTATTTATTATATTGTTTCTGATGTATTTATCTTTTTGTATGCTAAGTTTTTTTTTTTTTCAGCAAGTGGGTTGTGCACTCTAATACAGAAACACTCTTGGTGTTACTCGACATTTAATGTTGATCATATATCAGTGTATTAATATTCTGAAATACTTTTCAGTTATCAGCAAAAGAAGAAGATGTCAACAATAATATTAGTGACCTTTCTTTAATGAAGGAAGACATGCGTGCAACAGCAGAGAAATGTGCAAAGATCTTCATTGAATATTCTGCTAAACGAAGTGAGGTAAGTTAACTTGCATTCTTTCTTGAGTGTGTCACACATCTCTTACATGTACTTCTGCAAGACTCTTCATCACAGGCATCTTTTGTCTTATTTAACACATCACCCATGTACCACCAAGGCAAAGTCAGTCATAAAAGGAAGAAGATTCACAATCATTCATGCTCTAGTTGTCTTTTCGGAAGTGCATGGACACTGCATTTCAATATTTGTTGCAGTCAGTATAACTCAGTATTGAGAGCAAATAAATTTTGGTAAAAAAAAAAAAAAAAAAAAAAAATACTTTAACAACAGTACTTCAGAATGCATCATAAAAAGCAAGTATGGTAGGGCAGTAAAGATATCAGTAATAAAGCTAACATAAACACTAATGAAGATAACATAAATCACAAGATGTTACTTTGTGATCACTGCCGGATAACTAGTTGTCACAGATACTGAACTTCCATGAGACAACTGTCTCCTAATAGTTGTCACAGATACTGAACTTCCATGAGACAACTGTCTCCTAATAGTTGTCACAGATACTGAACTTCCATGAGACAACTGTCTCCTAATAGTTGTCACAGATACTGAACTTCCATGAGACAACTGTCTCCTAATAATTGTCACAGATGCTGAACTTCCATGAGACAACTGTCTCCTAATAGTTGTCACAGATACTGAACTTCCATGAGACAACTGTCTCCTAATAGTTGTCACAGATACTGAACTTCCATGAGACAACTGTCTCCTAATAGTTGTCACAGATACTGAACTTCCATGAGACAACTGTCTCCTAATAGTTGTCACAGATGCTGAACTTCCATGAGACAACTGTCTCCTAATAGTTGTCACAGATGCTGAACTTCCATGAGACAACTGTCTCCTAATAGTTGTCACAGATACTGAACTTCCATGAGACAAACTGTCTCCTAATAATTGTCACAGATGCTGAACTTCCATGAGACAACTGTCTCCTAATAATTGTCACAGATGCTGAACTTCCATGAGACAACTGTCTCCTAATAATTGTCACAGATGCTGAACTTCCATGAGACAACTGTCTCCTAATAGTTGTCACAGATGCTGAACTTCCATGAGACAACTGTCTCCTAATAGTTGTCACAGATACTGAACTTCCATGAGACAACTGTCTCCTAATAGTTGTCACAGATGCTGAACTTCCATGAGACAACTGTCTCCTAATAGTTGTCACAGATGCTGAACTTCCATGAGACAACTGTCTCCTAATAGTTGTCACAGATACTGAACTTCCATGAGACAACTGTCTCCTAATAATTGTCACAGATGCTGAACTTCCATGAGACAACTGTCTCCTAATAGTTGTCACAGATGCTGAACTTCCATGAGACAACTGTCTCCTAATAATTGTCACAGATGCTGAACTTCCATGAGACAACTGTCTCCTAATAATTGTCACAGATGCTGAACTTCCATGAGACAACTGTCTCCTAATATTTTGTCACAGATGCTGAACTTCCATGAGACAACTGTCTCCTAATAGTTGTCACAGATGCTGAACTTCCATGAGAACAACTGTCTCCTAATAATTGTCACAGATGCTGAACTTCCATGAGACAACTGTCTCCTAATAGTTGTCACAGATGCTGAACTTCCATGAGACAACTGTCTCCTAATAGTTGTCACAGATACTGAACTTCCATGAGACAAATGTCTCCTAATAGTTGTCACAGATACTGAACTTCCATGAGACAACTGTCTCCTAATAGTTGTCACAGATACTGAACTTCCATGAGACAACTGTCTCCTAATAGTTGTCACAGATACTGAACTTCCATGAGACAACTGTCTCCTAATAGTTGTCACAGATGCTGAACTTCCATGAGACAACTGTCTCCTAATAATTGTCACAGATGCTGAACTTCCATGAGACAACTGTCTCCTAATAGTTGTCACAGATGCTGAACTTCCATGAGACAACTGTCTCCTAATAGTTGTCACAGATACTGAACTTCCATGAGACAAATGTCTCCTAATAGTTGTCACAGATGCTGAACTTCCATGAGACAACTGTCTCCTAATAGTTGTCACAGATGCTGAACTTCCATGAGACAACTGTCTCCTAATAATTGTCACAGATACTGAACTTCCATGAGACAATTGTCTCCTAATAGTTGTCACAGATACTGAACTTCCATGAGACAACTGTCTCCTAATAGTTGTCACAGATGCTGAACTTCCATGAGACAACTGTCTCCTAATAGTTGTCACAGATGCTGAACTTCCATGAGACAACTGTCTCCTAATAGTTGTCACAGATGCTGAGCTTCCATTACATAACTGATCACAGGAGAGGGCAGCAGGCTTTGTCGCAGGAGAGGACAGTAGGCTTGGTCGCAGGGGAGGGCAGCAGCTTGGTCACAGGAGAGGGCAGCAGCTTGGTCACAGGAGAGGGCAGCAGACTTGGTCGCAGGAAAGAGCAGCTTAACCCTTTCAGGGTCCAAGGCCAAAATCAGAAGTGGTGCCCGAGTGTCCAAGAAATTTTGAAAAAAAAACAAAAAAAAATTCTTACAGAATTAAAGAGTATATTTTTGTGAAGGTAATAAAAAAAATTCTGATCAGTACTTACCGAGATACAGTGCCGAGAAGTTGACCCAAAATGACCGGGTGGCGGCAACATAGACGATTTCCACATACAGTGGTCCCTCGTTTTTCGTAGTTCTCGGGAATCATAGGTTTCGGAAATCGTAGGGATATTTTCGTATAAACATGGGCTCGCTAATCATAGGTTGACTCGCGAATAGTAGTTCGTCCGGGATGCGTACATACGGTGTGAGCCGGGGCAGCCTCCCTACCCAGCCAGTCTGGCATTGTTTACCAGTGAGCGAAGGTCCCCTCACGTGCTCCTACGAAATATTTCATAATATTCCACTCATTTTAGTGCTTGCAAGTACTAAATAAGCTACCATGGCTCCAAAGAAAGCTCCTAGTGCCAAGCCTGTGGTAAAAAAGAGCTCACCACTGAGGAGCTGCAAGAGCTTCAGCAGGAACAGCAACAGATCGCAGCTCAGAATCTTGCTGCAGAGGACGAGGAAGAGAGATGGAAGAAGGTGCCTTCTTCAGAAATTAAAGAGATTTTTGCTATGTGGGGTAAGATGGAAAGCTTTATGGAGAAACATCACCTTGACAAGGTTGTTGCAAGCCATGTTGGCAACATGTACCGAGACGCCAGAAACAGAGCTCTCTCCACAGTTATTTTGCGAGACAGGACTCCAGTGACTCTCAAGGTGGTCCTAGTGGCATTAAGAAACAGAGAAGAGAAGCAACCCCAGAAAAGCAATTGGTACCTGAGGTGTTGATGGAAGGGGATTCCCCTTCCAAACTGTAAACAGTCCAATCTCTCTCCTCCTCCAGTCTCCCATACACTAAGAAGAATCTCCAATAAAGGTAAGTGTTATGCTGTTAATGTTTCATTCATCATTTCCCATTGTATTGTTTATGTACTACATCTATATTTCATGTAAAAAAAATTTTTGTTTTAATACTTCTGGGAATCAGGAACGGATTACAGTGGACCCCCGCATAGCGACTTTAATCCATGCAAGAGGGCTGATTGTTATGCGAAATGTTCGGTATGCGAATGAATTTTCCCCATAAGAAATAATGGAAATCAAATTAATCCGTGCAAGACACCCAAAAGTCTGAAAAAAAAAATTTACCACATGAAATATACATTTTCCTACACACAAAGAGAAGGATACATGCACAATAGTAGAGTAGTACATGCACAATATATATTGTGCATGTACTACTCTACTAAATGAAGAATAAATGACACCTTTATTGAAGATGCAGCAATGACTGATGAGACACTGTGTCCTGGGAGTGCCTTTTCCTCCTGAGTACTGTAGGTCCTGTTTGGTATTTTCTTCCAGAACAGGCCTTATCACACTGTGTATGCCACTACGATTCTTAAATCTCTCAAACCAACCTTTGCTGGCTTTAAATTCACCAATATGAGCACTAGTTCCAGGCATTTTTCCCTGTTCACCTGGGTGTTAGTCGACTGGTGTGGGCTGCATCCTGGGAGACAAGATTAAGGACCCCAATGGAAATAAGTTAGACAGTCTTCGATGACACTGACTTTTTTGGGTTATCCTGGGTGGCTAATCCTCTGGGGTTAATTGTCTCTTGGAATTCTCAATAAGCCACACCAACAACGGTGCTACAGCAGCAGCAGCAGCTGACGGTGGTACAACAGCAGCAGACGATGCTACAGCAGCAACAGACGATGCTACAGCAGCAACAGACGATGCTACAGCAGCAGCAGACGATGCTACAGCAGCAACAGACGATGCTACAGCAGCAGCAGACGATGCTACAGCAGCAGCAGACGATGCTACAGCAGCAGCAGACGATGCTACAGCAGCAGCAGACGATGCTACAGCAGCAGCAGACGATGCTACAGCAGCAGCAGACGATGCTACAGCAGCAGCAGACGATGCTACAGCAGCAGCAGACGATGCTACAGCAGCAGCAGACAGTACTACAGCAGCAGCAGCAGCTGACGGTGGTACAACAGCAGCAGCAGCTGACAGTGCAGCAGCAGCAGCTGACGGTGGTACAGCAGCAGCAGCAGCTGTACCACCAATAGTAGCGATGGTTGATTGGGGTTTATTATACAACCTGGCCAGCTCGGAGACACGCACTCCACTTTCATACTTATCAATGATCTTTTTCTTCATCTCTATAGTAATTCTCACCCTTATTGCTGTAGGGTTGGCACTAGAAGCTTTCTTGGGGCCCATGGTCACTTATTTTCCAGAAAAAATAAAAAACACTGTAATAATACGAAATGTTCCGATTGTATGCTTGGATGTTACCGCGGAGGCTGGCTGGTAAATAATGCCACCAGCGGAACATGTGAGCGTGGCTCAGGCCGCACATTGGACGCGTCTCAGACGAAGAGCGGTGAGTGGGTTTTTGGGCGGTATGCGAGGCAAAATTTTTGCGAAAAAAGCGAGCAGTATGCGGATTGT